CTGCACCTATATTGACGTTCTCCTGTATGTATACGTTCATGGTCTTTTAGTTGGGATGACTGTGGATACGTTCATGTCTGCGTAAATCAGACGAACTCGTGAACGATTTGCCACATTTCTTACACTTGTGCGGTCTTTCTCCAGTATGAGTACGTTTATGACGACGTAGACTGCCTGAATGACTGAAAGTCCTCCCGCATACATCACACTTGAATGGTCGATCTCCAGTATGACTACGTTCATGCTCGCGGCGTCGAGAAACGTGCTTGAACTCTTTTTGGCAAAACTGACACCTATGTAATGTCTTACACTTAGAACGCTTGGACTGATCCTGTTTCTGATCCATAACATTAGGAGAGTCAGAATTTTGTCGGATAGGACGCCTGCTTCCAACCGGCATGTCTAACGCATCAGATTGCTCCGATGTTTCACGCAGACTTCCAACAGAAACTCCGGTATTTGACGCTATGGCTGGAGTTAAGGAGTCCTTTTCAATCTGAGGAGGATGTTTTACAATCGGTGCAGGCTCACTATACACGCTGAATACAGAAGTCCGATTCTCAAAGTCTTCCAATTCAGGCGGCATACTAGTCGTTGATTCATCATTTTCGCTTTCGTCGGCTGTTCGAAATGTCTGTTTGAAAGCTGGCTGACGGTTAGAAATGCTGCCTGAATGAATTGTGTTCCTCGTCCATTTTATCAATGGCGGAGGAGAAACAGGAATTAGGCTACTGGTATACTCAGGGAGTATGGTACTCGTGTCCTCTCTGTTTTCCAGTAAAGCGGATCTCATACATGACGCTTTCTCCATGTTTTCATCTAAAAGGTTAGACGCAGGAGATGGTGGAACACACGATGGACCATGCTTTATAGAAGTTTGTTTGAGCTTCTTCCACTTCGACTTCATCAATGGCGGCATTGGTGGTAGTTCATTAGAATCCAGACTACCGTCAGACATCGAGTCCTCAGTGTTTTCCATTTCTCGCTGATCTGCAACAACTCTAGAAGGGAAATTGCATAAAAGAACCAAAATTACTCGTACCCACTTTGCACATTGAACAAAACTACGGATGCAGAATGGTCAAAATCTTTGTGCATTAATATCGTATTCTAGTGTGTTAAAAACCATAATATTATTAGTTGTTAACAATGGATTTGCTATATTTGTGGCAGCCTGCAATACATGCCAAGTAAACACACGTTCTCAACATCAAGTACATGGCAACTTGCTGCTATCACCTCCAGCTGTCATGGAATTGTGCATCAATTGTGGCACATCAAGACGTTAGTTGCTAAAGGAGGATCGTGTAGTTTTTTTTAAGAGAAAAACAGAACATATGTGCAAGTCGATCTCTCAGATTTCGCTCAAATTTTGCAGGTAGGTTTGCTTTGGGGTGTAGATCGACTTTCCAAAGCCCGCGCAAAATCTTCTGAAGGGAACCATGAAATTAGCATACCCCTCAATATTGGCCCAATCTTGGCACGATTTATGGGTCTACAAACGAGCCACGGCACAGCGCACAAGAACAAGCTACGAACAAAACTCCATCAAGCCAACATTACCTCGCCTTAGAAAAGTTCTTGGGGCAGAACCACTTAGCCACGCCAGCATCCCAGAAGACGAGGGCAATCATCCCATGACGCCACAAATGATCTTCTTGAAAATAGCCAAATTGCAAGCGCTGCTAAAACAGCGAGCTACGTCCTCAATTAGCAAACACTATACACCGGCAGATAGTAGGACACCTCTTCTAGCACTGAGGACATGTCCCCCATCATCCTTTTTGGGTTTTCTTGAAATAAACAATTTTGAATTTTTCCACTCGACCATTCTGAAATACGTCCGAACTCATACCTGCACAGGAAAGCCCGCCCCTCCGCGATGTCTAGTCAGCAATTTCTACTCCAACATCACTCCCAACGCTGCAGAACAAAGTGTATTTTTGACTCTGACAAGGAAAAGCAGCAGTGATCACTTGTCACTCCAAACGACAAGCTTTTCCTTGCACCACCAACATTTTTCGGTGCAACAGTTGATGCAAAGGTGAGCGAATATTTGCGTGTAGTTTTTGGATTTTACTGCAAGAGGGATGATGAAATCGCGTGCCTCGTGACACAAGAATGCTAGGTCTCGTAGATAACGGTTCAGCAGTTTTCCTAGTCACCTTGATCAAGCGCACCTGCACTTACACGGATCACCCGTTGATCTAGATTGGATCAAGTGCATCTTGATGTCCAGCTCAAGAGCACGCATGTCGTGTTGTAGGCCTACCAGCCGGGACTTTCCCTAAACATGCCGCACAGAGACTAGGGCGAGTAGGGTCAAATCACGTTGTTCATGACGTAAGAAATCTGCCATGTTGGCGCGCCACATACTACATTGTAGTACTTCGTAGTAGTACCCCATGCAACCAGTACTTTGGAGTGTAAGCCGCGCGCTGGTCAACTCCAAGCGACCTAACCTTGGCCTTGATGGCATGGACCACGCTCATTCCTTCCTGTTGCAGATCTACGTGGTTTATGAGCATGTAAACTAGCCGTAGTTCGTGTTGAACCATGTGCGGGATGAGCAAGGTTAGTGTACTGCAAGAGGATTGGTGAGTGATACATCTACTATCGTTATAACGATAGTTTCTGCATGTTCTGAGCAGAGCATGCAAGAAATATAATGCATCTTACCTCCTCCCTCATGGTCCGTTTCGAATAGAGCCTCAGGAACGATCGTGATCCTGTGCATTGTGTCGTGCAGCAGAAAACATTATTCTAAGTCACGATCCACGTGATTTCTTCATTTCTCTTGCAGTAAAATCCAAAAACTACACGCAAAAATTCAATAACTTTTGCATCGACTGTTGCACCGAAAAATGTTGGTGGCGCAAGGAGAAGCTTGTCGTTTGGAGTGACAAGTGATTACCGCAGCTTTTCCTTGTCAGAGTCAAAAATACACTTTGTTCTGCAGCGTTGGGAGTGCTGTTGGAGTAGAAATTGCTGACTAGACATCGCGGAGGGGCGGGCTTTCCTGCGCAGGTATGAGTTTGGACGTATTTCAGAATGGTAGAGTGGAAAAATTCAAAATTGTTTATTTCAAGAAAACCCAAAAAGGATGATGGGGGACATGTCCTCAGTGCTAGAAGAGGTGTTCTACTATCTGCCGGTGTATAGTGTTTGCTAATTGAGGACGTAGCTCGCTGTTTTATCAGCGCTTGTAATTTGGCTATTTTCAAGACGATCATTTGTGGCGTCATGGGATGATTGCCCTCGTCTTCTGGGTTGCTGGCATGGCTAAGTGGTGCTGCCCCAAGACCTCTTCTAAGGTGAGGTAATGTTGGCTTGATGGAGCTTTGTTCGTAGCTTGTTCTTGTACGCTGTGCCGTGGCTCGTTTGTAGACCAATAAATCGAGCCAATATTGGGCCAATATTGAGGGGTATGCCAATTTCATGGTTCCCTTCAAACGATTTTGTGCGGGCTTTGGAATGTCAATCTACACCCCAAAGTAAACCTACCTGCAAAATTTGAGCGAAATCTGAGAGATTGACTTGCACATATGTTCTGGTTTTCTCAGACATGCTCTCTTTCACACTGCTGTCAGACATCGACTTCTCCAAGTCTTCCATTTCTCACTGAACTGCAATGACTCTGGAAGGGAAATTGTGTACCGAGCCAATATTACTCGTAGCCATTTCACGCAGGGAATTTGCACTAACGGATGCGGAATGGTTCGCTCTGTGCACTTTAATATCGTGCTCTAGTGTGAAAAGCAATATTATTTGATAAAATTAAAAGAAGTGTTTGCCATAATTCTGGCAGCCCGCAATGCGTGACAATTGTACGTATGCTCTCAAAATCAAGTACATGGTAGCTTACTGTCACCATCTGAAGATGTTATGGACATTTGCCAGGAGAGAATCTTGTCGTTTTAAATGATAAATGTTCACTCCTACTGTGCTTTATCAGTGTCAACACTACACGTTGTTGTTCAGCACTGAACTGCCATTCTCACACAAGTAAAGGATGTATCACTCACCAAAAGTGGACATTTTCAGAATGCAAAAGGTCTATTGCTGACTACACGTCCCGGAGGGGTGAGCTTTCCTGCACAGGTATGAGTTTGGATGTACAAGTACATTATATTTCTGCATGGTGAAAAGGAAAAATTCAAAATTAATTTTTTAAAGTAAAAGCAAAAAGGAGGATGGGTGACATGTCCTCAGTGCTAGAAGTTGTGTTCTTCTATCTGCCAATGAAAAGTTCTTTGTAAATGAGGACGTACATGAAGCTGTCTGTTTTGCCCGCCCTTGTAAATTGTGTGTTTTCAAGATAATCATCATAATCATATGGTCAGGCAATGTTGGCTTGAAGGAGCCTTATTCGTAGCTTGGTTTAACTACTGTGGCAAGTTTCTTTTGGAGACCCATAAATCATGTGATGTTTTGACCATTGTTGAGGGGAATGCCAATTTCAAAGTTTGCTTCAGACAAATTTTCACGGGCTTTGCGCAGTCTATCTACACACCAAGGAAACGTACCTGCAAAATTTGAGGGAAATCGCACAGATCAACACGCAAACATTCTCTGGTCTTGTCACACATGCTCTCTTAAAAGTCCCCTACCCTTCGCGCAGAACAACGATCTCAATGAAATATGACGTTCTCATATAAAAAGTTATGCTAGAAAAATATTATTAACTTCTGACATAATACATGAGAACAAAACAATGGAATAGATCACAAATGCAGAACTACATAATACACATCAGCTTGCGATTCTGGACTATCATAGTCTATCGCATGTGTGGCTACAATCATACTTGTGTGAATAGCATCAAAGAGTGGAATGTATTTTAAACTGCTGCGAATGTTCACTATCTTTCTAACAGACACACACACACACACACACACACACACACAAAGACGCACGCGCGCACACACACACACACACTCACTATTTTGTTCGTAGATTTCATAAACGCGAAGAGAAAAAAGGCATCTTCACACATAGAAAACACCCTTCTTATGACTTTTAGCATCTTTATTGTAGGTTATGAATACGCTCGTGTCTACGAACACTTGATGAACGTCTGAAGAACTTTGGGCACTCTCTGCACCTATATGGACGTTCTCCTGTATGTATACGTTCATGTTCGCGGAGATGGGATGACTGCGTAAAAGACCTTCCACATGTCTTGCAAGTGAAAGGTCTTTCTCCAGAGTGGATAAGTGTATGCCTGCGTAAAGCGGTTGAACGTAAGGACGATGTCTTACACTTGTGCTGTTTCCGTCCGGTATGAGTACGTTTGTGGGCACATAGATTGCGTGACAGAGTGAAAGACTTCTCGCATACATCACACTTGAATGGTCGATCTCCAGTGTGATCACGTTCAAGCCGGCGGAGCTGGGAAACGTTCTTGAACTCCTTTGGGTAAAACTGACAGATCTGCGAGGTCTTACACTTAGAACGCTTGCACTGATCCTGCGTCTTAGCCACAACCTTAGAAGAGTCAGAATTTTGTCGGATAGGACGCGTGCTTCCAACCGGTATGTCGCAAGCATCAGGTTGCTCCAGTGTTTCTCGCAGCCTTCCAACAGAAACTCCGGTATTTGACGCTGTGGCTGGTGTTAAGGAGTCCTTTTCAATCTGAGGAGATGATTTCATAGTCGATACACGTGCATCATACGCGCTGAATGCAGAAGTCTCAACGTCTTCCAATTCAGGCGGCATACCAGTCGTCACTTCATCATTTTCGATTTTTCTGGCGGTTGGAAATGTATTTTTGAAAGCTGGTGGACGATTAGAAATACTGTCTGAAAGAATTGTGGTCCTCGTCCATCTCATCAATGGCGGAGGAGACACAGGAAATATGCTGCTGGTATATTCACGGGGTATAATACTCGTGCCTTCTCTGTTTTCCAATGAAGCTGATCTCATACACGACGCTTTCTTCGTGTCTGCTTCGCCAATGTTTGAACCAGAAGATGCGGGAGCGGACAATGGGCCATGCCGTCTAGAACTCTGGTCGCGCACATTAATCTTTGACTTCATCATTGTCCGCACTGGTGGCAGTTTATTAGATTCCACACTACAGTCAGACTTCGATTCCTCAAAGTCTTCCATTTCCAATTGAACTGCAATAACTCTGGAAGAGAAATTGCACAACAGAGCCTATATTACTCGTAACTACTTCACGCAGCAATTCAAAAACTACCTTTGCAGAATGGATCGCTCTGTACACGTTAATATCGTGTTCTTGTGTATCAAATTCCATATTAGTTGATAACAATGGGTTTGCTATAATTATGGCAGCGCGCAATACGTGCCAATTTTATACGTATGTTCTCAACTTCAAGTACATGGCAACTTGCTGTCACCATTTCAAGCTGTCATGGAATTATGCAATTGTGGCACAAACAGATGTTAGGTGCCAAAGGGCAATCTTGTCGTTTTTAGAGATGAAGATCACTCATAACTTTCTTTGTCGCTGCCAACGCCACACTTCGTACGTCAGTGCTCAGCTGCTATTCTGACAGAAGTAACGGATCCATCACTCACCAATAAATTACTGTTCCAGAATGAAGAGTAAGAACTGACACTCCAAGAGCAACGTAATCTGGTTTGGAAGCCACTGTGAGTATATTCTGCTGTAGTATGCATCATCGACATCGACACCACCATCATCATCATTACCTGCTCTCGAGCTAGTTAGGGCAGTACCTTCACTTCAGAATGTTCTGCATCAACCATTAGCGAATGACTTTGTAGGCTACCGTGGGTAAAAGGATTTCAAAGTTTTTCAAAGCTGCCATTCTTCTGCAGGCTTTTAGTGGTGTCGCGGAAGATATGATCATGGTTTACGAATATTGTGTTGTTTTTTCACGGCTGAGCGTAGCGAAAGAGTGTAAAAAACGTATTTTTCACTCACCATTTTTCTGTCGTGCTCTGCTGCTCTTCCACTGCGCAACTCTCCCCCACCTGCCATCGTGGTCTTGTATTCCTCGTAGAGCGTGGAGTTTTTTGACGTCCGGAGATCTAAAGTAATAAATTATGCCGTCTACTCGCAGCCAAGGAACCACGGCTCCTGTAGCTCATCCTGAGCCTGCCAGGACCGCCAGACGACGCCCAGCCGCCACCTCCGCCACCTCACCTGCCCCACCAACACCAAGCTCGGCAGGTGAGGAGATGCCGTCGTGGTTCGCCTCCGCATTTACCAACCTGTCATCACAAATCAAGGGAGTGCAGGAGGAGGCCACGGCGGCCCGCGCTGAGGTGGCAAAACTCAAAGCAGCGCAGTCCCTAACAAGCCAAATAACCCAGGCCCCAAAGCCGAAACTCAAGTCACCAGGGCTGCAGGCACAGTTCGCCACCAATGAAACTGTGTTGCAAAAGGTGGATGCCGCCATATCGGTGCTCCCGGACTCCGCACCCGAGGCCAAGGAACTCCTGACGCAGGGTAAGCGCGAAATCTGCAAAAGGCAGAAGCACCTGAAAATAGCAGATTCGTTCGACTGGGAGACTGTGAGAGTTTATGAGGAGGGCAGCGTGGGTGACAGCCTCGCTGACGACAAACGGATCGCGGACGCGGCCTCCACTGCTCGCCGACTCAAGCAACTGCAGCCCAGGGAGCGCTTCCAACCTGAAACTGAGAGGCCATACCCGAGCAGGAATTTTCGTGCCCCCAGTTTCGGCAACAACTCCCAGTTTGAGCGGAGGCCATCGGGCCACGGACCGTTTGCCAACGGTGGCCGAGCCCCTGGAAGCGGCCCACGTTGCTGGAACTGCCAACAGTTGGGTCACGTCAGCAGGCATTGCCCCCAGTTCGGCCGAGGCAGTAGTCGCCAACCACACTGGACTCAGCAACCCCAGCCCACTGCAGGAGCTCGTCCACGAATGGACGGAGCATGAGTGCCCAGACCCGCTGGAGTCTGACGAGATAAGTGCTTGTGACAATAACGTTCATGGGCGGTTATTACACTGCATTGCATTTTGGGAAAATATTGGTGCCTCAGATTTTGTTTTACGTATTATTCGTTATGGCTATTTTTTGTGTTTTGTCTCCCCCCCACCCCAGTTCCGGGCATGTAACCTAAAGTCTTCTAATGATCATTCTAGTTTTGTATCTGACCAAATCCGTATGCTGTTACGTTCGGGGGCAGTCGAGATGGTGGAGGAAAACGCCACCCATGTAATTAGTCCGTTGGGGGTGGTTCCCAAGGGCAACGGAAAATTGAGGCTGATTATAGACCTCCGCTTCCTCAATAAGCATTTGGCAGACTCCCATTTTAGCGTTGAGGACCTGAGACTCATCCCGGACCTGTTCGATCCGGGTTGTTTCCTGTTCACTTTTGATCTGAAGGATGGCTACCATCACATCTCGATTGCCCCAGAACATAGGAAGTTCCTAGGTTTTCAATGGCAGTTCCGGGGTCAGGCCCGGTTTTTTGTGTTTGCCGCACTTCCGTTTGGCCTTAAGCCCGCCCCATTTGTGTTTACAAAAGTGCTGCGGCCTTTGGTCACCCATTGGCGTGACCAAGGCATACGTATTTTCCTGTATCTGGATGACGGAACTGGAGCCGCAAACTCCGCAGAGGAGACGCAGCGGGTCGCCCAACTTGTGAGGTCAGATTTGGAAAAATGCGGTCTTGTCATTAACAAGCAAAAGAGTAACTTTCAACCCCGGCAGGTGGCCTCGGTCTTGGGTCATGTCCTGGACACGGCCAACAACAGCATTCATGTCACCCCAAACCGCGTATCCAAATTTAAACTGCTGCTAGCTGAGATTATGTCTTACTCCACTGTGGTCCCCTCACGCTTGCTTGCCAAACTAACGGGGTCGCTGAGCTCTATGTGGCTTGCTCTGGGCTGCGTGGTGCGCTTACAGACAAGAAGCTTGCACGCATGTCTGGGCCCAACCCTCGAAGAAGGCTGGGAGATAGCTATCCCACTTGAGCATGCTGCCAAGGCTGAATTAAGTTTTTGGCAATCTGAATTTGATCGTTTTCACGGGAGACCCATCTGGTCTGCCGGGCCCCGCACGCTGCAATTGGTATTCACGGACGCTAGTGACTCCGGGTGGGGTGGTTTCAGCCTGATGAACGGGGTTGAAATTGCAAGGGGCGAGTGGCCCTGGACCATGTCAGCCGCACACACCAGCTCCACATTGAGGGAACTGCTTGCTGCCCGCTTTGCCCTAATCTCTTTAGTGTCGCGTTTGTCTGGCCATGCAATTTGTCTTAATACCGACAACCAGAACGTGGTGTCCATTTTGTGTAACGGTAGCCGTAACCCAACGCTGCACCAAGAAGCTGTTGACATTTTTCGTTTCTGTCAACGCGAACACATTGAACTGTTTGCACAGTGGATCCCCCGGGGTGAAAATACCACGGCTGACTATCTCTCACGGATTCTAGACATGGATGACTGGGCTATTTCGGCCGAATTGTTTGTTTATTTTGATAAGAAGTGGGGCCCCCATACTGTCGATAGATTTGCGAGTCATTTGTCCCATCAACTCCCTACTTTCAACTCCCTTTGGTGGTCCCCAGGTTCATCGGGTGTTGACTGTTTCACTCAATCATGGGAAGGTGAAAGCAATTGGTGTCTCCCCCCACCTCGCTTGTTAAGCAAATTGTTTCATTTCCTCAGAGCCATACCGTGTCATGCCACTGTTGTGTTTCCTGGCTGGCCATCAGCACCATGGTGGCCGTTCTGGCGCCCAAGTGGGCTTGCAACCCCGTTCACCGTTACCCGAGAAACCTTCCAGCCCGGTTTCGGCTCATTTCGGCACACATCCCAACCGGTCTGTCTTTTTGGACCAGAACCACCACCATTCCGTTTTCATCCAGTCCGTTTTTGTTCTCTCCGAAACTGTGCTCATTAGGGGTCTTACCACACGGCCTTAGTTAGAATTTTTGGTTACCTTGCCCCCCCCCCCTCCCCTGTGCTGTTCATTGCCCGCCATGAGGTTGCCTTTATTGATGTCTCTTAGTGTTTTTTTCTTGCGCTTGCTGCCTATGCTGTTCTGTTCCTGCCGTTTTTTAGTATAGGGCATTCTTTCTGCGTGAATTGCCTATTCAATGAACTTACACATACCCATGTGGATTGAGACACCCGAGGGGCAGGGACGACAAGGAAGGGAGAAGCCCGATGGGCGGTGATGACGGGGGAGGGAGAAGCCCGATGGGCAGTGATGGTGAGGGAGGGAGAAGCCCGATGGGCAGGGATGATGAGGGAGGGAGAAGCCCGATGGGCAGTGATGATGAGGGAGGGAGAAGCCCGATGGGCAGTGATGATGAGGGAGGGAGAAGCCCGATGGGCCGTGATGATGAGGGAGGGAGAAGCCCGATGGGCAGTGAGGATGAGGGAGGGAGAAGCCCGATGGGCGGTGATTTTGGCAATGGTTGCCTGTGTGCATGCTGGTATGAGGCGTGACGCTGCGGCGACATGAGGCCCGGCTCGTTCAGGGCAGCCGGTGTCACCCCTGGTCCCCTACCCGAGTCACTCTGTTCATAAATTACACGACATACATCTCACACGGGGTAACGGTGATGTTGGAGGCAGAGGAGGGTTAGACCCCTGGGAGGTACACCGGGTGGGGGAGTCCGGAAACCCACAATACCGGGACTGAACACCGATCAAACTCACAGGAACAACACACAGTCTGTCCAGATCTGATCCCCCGTGTGTCGTTTTCCTGTCTGTGGGTGTGTGCGTGCGTTTTGCATGTGCCTTATTCAGCTTCCTCCCCTTTTTGGACGGAACTGGCATCCATACGGAACCCCGCCGTTCAACACCTGGTCGACGCGCTACCGGTCGTCCTGCTCAATGACGTGGCGCCTTCTACAGGCAGGGCATACCTACAGGCATTCGGTCGCTGGCGTACATGGGCTTCTGGGGCCGGATTCACCCCGTTCCCAGCTCGCGCAGTCCACGTGGCACTATACCTAACGAGTTTGATCCAACAAGGCACGACGTTTGCCCCTGTCGCACAAGGCTGCGCGGCTCTACGTTGGCTGCACCGTAAGGCCGGTCACCCAGATCCGATCGCGGCACCGGTCATCACGCAACTGCAAGTTGCCGCTCGCCGTATCTGTGCACGTCCTGTCTCCCGCCGCACTCCGACCTCACCGTCCCTGTTCCGCCAACTGATGTCCACCCTGGCCCAACCAGATGCACCACTGGGGGACCTGCAATGTGCCACC